GTTTGGAGTTCACAGAGTTTACCACACAGGCTAAGTACGACTGGAACTTGCTGCTAGGAACTATTGGTGGGCTGCTGGGGCTGTGGTTGGGGTTCTCTTTGTTAACTACCATGGAAATCTTCGAGGTGCTGATTGAGACGGCCCTGCATTGCGTGCGCAGAAAGTACAAGAAGAACAGTAACATCTAAACATAACAGACTTCATGACATCTATGTACCTTTGCTGTTACATTGTCTTTACTATCATAAGACGCTAAATTCAATGCAATTAACATAGTTATCATCATAATTTTCATTATAAGCTATGCTGAATAGTGCTGCGTTAGCGCAGTCGATAGGAGACTCGCTTTCAAATCCATCTGTGACTCGCTGCAGCCAACAGCCGGTGTTCGAAACCGGGCAGTTCCTAGTGTTCACCCAGCTTCTACGTAATGGGTATCATAGTCAATACTCTAGGGTATATGAAGGAACGTCAATGTAGCTACAGAGTTGCGTACTCACAGCGACACAGGCAGACAGCCGTCCCTACTGGTGGCAGTGCATTTATGGTTTATAACCTTGTGCAGTGAGGCTGGTGTATATCTCCCGACTTTACCTTTACTTTTATTGCAACAATCTGCACAGGATATTACGAAATGAAAGATTGCACTGCGAGTTCCTATGTGACGTAAAACGATACACCTGGATATACTTGTGATGATGATGATGATTGTGATGATGATGATGATGATGATTGTGATGATGATGATGATTGTGATGATGATGATGATGATGATGATTGTGATGATGATGAGGATTGTGATGATGATGATGATTGTGATGATGATGATTGTAATGATGATGATGATTGTGATGATGATGATGGTGAAGATATGAGTGGAACAATCATCCCTTGCAATTACTCACTTACTGGTGTATATTTTACAGTTTAACCATCTGTATTGTTAGTAACTAAGTAAAAAAACACTAACATTAAAATTACATTACGTGGTTTTAAAACATTTTAATTTAGAGTTCCATATTTTGTTCAGGCTATTGATAGTTTCTGTTATCATATTTTTGTTGTATCCTTAGCAATTAACGTTGCTACCTAAAATTTGTAATCTGATATGCGAAAGTAATTTTGTTTTCTGCTCTGTTATATAACAAATGTGCCTGTTCATGACTGATTTATAGTCCGATCTTTGAAGCCATGTTTGCTGATGTACACACACCTATATATATATATATATATATATATATATATATATATATATATATATATATATATATGTATATATATACTTACATAAATGTTTGTGCGTGTATGTTTATCAAGTGAGGTGAGAAAGAAAGTTTTCGAAGCTTTATGGAGCCGTTCTTAATTTGGCCACGTAAAACATCAACGCTTGTTTACAGTCATGAAGACAACCACACGGTGGGGTATTTATGAAGACCGCAGTTGTCAGTCTCAAATAGTTGCATGCTGACTGCATTTGCACGTATGCTGAACGTATTTAAGTCCCGTTTCAAGCACACCATTCGGTGGAGACTTTATGAAGACCGGAATTGTCAATCTCAAATAGTTGCGTATTAACTGGCTATACACGCCTGTTGAACGTATTTTATGAGTTAGTGAACAACACTGACAATATAGTAGCTCGTATAGATTAACAATAATTGAAGAGAACGGTGCAGCAGAGAGAAACCACAAGATCTGGCTAGGACTCAGCACACAGATGATGGCAAGCTAAATAAAAATAAAGGACACAAACAATGGCGAACCACGCATATAAAGTTAGACACGTATTTTATTTATACCAGTTCCTACAGGATAGGTAGTCAGGTCAACATCGCAGCCACTGCCTTGACTAGCAAAAGTTAAACTATGTCTTTTGTAGTCTCGGTGATTTGGAGAGAGATAATCTCAACAACTGTTACTTTTTCATGGTCCCTCCAAAAAAGTGACCTTTTATGCATGCCACAACTAAAAAAAGTGGAGGTTTTTCATTGATTCATCCAAGACGAGGCTTAACACTGTTTTGTTGAATAATGGTAATATATTCCAGTTGGTCACGCAGTTCACATGAAAGACACATAAAAACAGCTTTTGAAATGTATGAATCATTTGTCATTTGACGGCGATTTAAAAGTGGTCGCTCTTTTGCTTGCACTATAGGGTGGATATGCAAAGTACTGCTGCTTTCTATGTTAATGGGATAGCTGTACACGATGTTACCAATACACCAGAAAACATTGGCCAATCAGCCGGCCATTGTTTGACACACTTGTATATCCATGCTCTGGTAATCTGATAATCACAGTTTCAGCTTCATAGCAAACGGGTCACCCCATAGCTGCTCCACTCCTGTGCCAACAAATAACACACTGATTGTTAATCACGGTCCCTTGTGAATAGATTGACAGACTGCTGTCTCAGCATATGCACCAGCATACACACGCAATAAAAGCATACGGTAGTCATCTGAAGTGCTAACACAAACAGTCCGACATTAGAAATG